GGTTGACAGCAAAGAGAACGTCGGTGCATTGGGCAAGGTACATAAGACTGCCCGCCGCTTCTTGGTAAGGTACCCTTTTCATCTTTTCAGTCTCATCTGCGGTTTATGGAGCCATGTCCTTGTTCAGCTTTGACTTGGATCAGACTTGGATTCATCGAAGTAGACGCAGCCTTTGCAGTGAACCGTGACAGCACCGCCTCCTGTTCCAATTATACGGTGTCCCTTCCACATGTGATCCGGATTCCGAGACAGCTACTTGCTTTTCCCAAGCCCTTCATGCGGAACGTGTTGCTTGAATTCGTTGGTCAGTGCTCTGTCGTTAGAGAAGATGACCACGTCATCAACGTAGATCGCGACGTGCCGGTGGTTCGATTGCCTTCGATTCGATAGTACAGGCATGGATCGTACTTCGATGGGGTCATTCCGAAGCTTCGAATACCAGACACGACTGGACTGTTTCAGCCCACAGACGACACACCAGCTTTCGTTGTTCCGACCTTTTGAAACATGGAGGCTCCTCCGACAGTGCGCCATAACCATCGGGCGATATTCTTCAACAGTGTTCCCACCCACTTGTCGGATATCGGGAAGTCAATTCCGTTCAGCTAGTGTTCGGTAGATACAATTCGATTCACATAATCATCCATCGACGTGCAGGCTGACAGCTAGTTTGTGTAATAGTCCGACTCTTCGTGTCAATCCTGTGTCCTAGAATGCATACTCTAACTTCGCCCAAACATCTTCCGACGTTTGTGCCTCGTTAACATGCACATAATTATTGGGGTCCAGAAGCTTCGAAGGTTCCGTCCGCTTTCCTTTCCGGTTTCACCGCGCACCACAGTTCTTCCAACTCCAGCAAGGCTACCACCACAAACTTCCACGTAGGTTCGAAAAGTTGTGGACTACCCCACCGCTACCGCTTGCATTACCGTTCGTCATAATTATTACGCGAATTCCGTGAGAAAACGACCGGAGAAAACCTTTTCTCTTCGATAGAACAGCTGCGAATAGGCCTATAACCTATTAAGAAGAGATAAACGCGCAGAAGAAACAAAAACATCTTTCTACAAACAAACTGTTATTTAGCCCTTTCCTCACACAGCGGAAGCCAACCACGCAAACCATCATCGTGTAGGGGAAATTTTCCTCTATCCGATGATGGTATTTGGTTTGCGTGAGTGACCTTTGCTATATTTCCAAGTAAAAAACACCATAGTTGATAATAGAAGAGCTACGCAGAATGAAACCAAAATCTACCTATCGAGCATAGTAGACCAACTGCGTGGGGAGTATTGTTTGCACCAATCAGGATAACAGAGGAAACATTCACAATCCTTGTGAAGTCATCCCAAGTGTAAACACAAGGTTGCCAAAAATAAAAAATAAAATGACCATTGATCGACATCAAAATTGCAAGCTTCACTCTGCGTAACTATTCTATTATCAACTCTTAAAAACACGGTTAAAACACTGCGAAATATTTTCGAGAATAGGCTAATAATCAGTTAGCCAGCACAGATAAATGTATAGATAAAGCACAGCGTATTAACTCGTACTCCAACATAAACAAACCGACTTTGGCAACATATGTGTAGGTGGTTTCTAGCAACACTGCAATTTCAATCAAGATATGCGTTTCTCGATTAGCTCTGGCTTTGACAGTTCGGTTGACTTAAAATCAACCAGTCCACTCATCTCTTATCCTAGACCTTCTCTAGTGCTACGGAAAGCTCGTCCTTCTTTTTGTGTATGTAAGAGCTACGTTATTTACTCGCAGAGTAATGAATTGCCTTTGTGCACCGTGTTTTAACGTTAAACTTTTGTAATTGGGTTGACGGTTTTGACAATAAGCTCAAACGAAAGGTCCTCATCTGAATTTTATTTTTATAACTTGAAATAAACATTCAAATTTCTTGGATTGTCTAAAACTAATGTAAAGCATCAGATTGGTATAAAACCTGCACTAGATATAGCGGCAAACCATGTTTATAATTTTATCCTGCAAGCATGAGATCGAACAATGAACCAAACGTACCTCCTCAACAAGACAGGGTCAATTAGAGGAACACTAAGATCAAAAACTGTCACACTTACCCATCTTGTCCTAACGGTGGATCTGATCCTATTGAATCAAGTGATGAACAAATAGTAAACACAATACTAGTTGGCGCCAGCATCAGTGGTTTAAAAATGCTTCGCGCTAATGGCATAGTTCCCCTGCCGAAGAGTATTCCATAATGGTGTCTTGGTTAGCTTTAGTTTGGCAATACTATTTGAAGAATTCATTGGTCAACAGGATCTTTTGAAGCCTTAAACACTTAATTGAACCAAATTAAGCAACACCACTTAATTGATACACTGAATTGAACATTTTAATTCATACAAAAGATGGGATGAAAATATTAACCTACAATTACAATTTTAATTGACAAAGAAAAAAATTGCAGATCATTTCAAATGTGGGACTACATTTCCTGTTCATTAAATTCTCGTTTCGGCTCTAGCTCTTCTACATAATACACTTTCATTCAAACTACCAACTTTCTCTGACCTGAAGTCGACTCTATCCTGTGTTTTAATAATAAAGGAGCACATATGTGAGAAGCCCCGTTAAAAGTACTGAACAAAGAATTCAGTACCCTTAAACTCCCACCACATTCCCTGCCAATCACATATGTGCTCCTGCCCTAGCTCCTAACTGATTAAAAACGCTTCTAAGGGTGGTATCACATTTCCCGGAGTTTCGTTTCCAAAATGGACCATTTACGTGAAAGTAGGAAATCACGTGCAATCAAAACGGAAAAAAAAGTTATTTCTATATTCAAAATTTTGCTAATGGGAATGTTTCCTTCTTTATTCAAATATCAAATAACAGAAATAACAATAATCAAACGAAAAGAAAACGAAAAACAAAAATAATCAAACAACGTAATGAACACTCAAAGAAGGAAATATTCCCATTTCAATCAAATTTGGTTACGAAAATATTGCCGAAAACAGTATGTTACTAAATAGCTCATTCTGAAAATAAAATCCGGGAAATGTGATACCACTCTTTTAACTAACTAGCTACTATAAGTGAACAGTAAATTTGGAAGTACCTAACTAACAAGATAAAAGGAGCACATATGTGATAGGCCCCGTTAAATGTATTGAAAAGTCACCTCTCTATTCCTAATTTCGATCCAAACCGATTTTCAACCAGTTTCGATCAAAATTATCAAAAGGGATGACTTTTCAGTACATTTAAACTCCCACCACATTCCCTGCCAATAACATATGTGCTCCTGCCCTAGCTCCTATCAATCTACCTAATTCTTTTTCTACATAAATACTACATCTAAACCCTAACACTGCTAAATACTCTGAAATGCGATGATCGAGCTCACGATAGTGGTCCTTCGAACTTCATAAACAAAAAGATCTTCGATTGAAGCATTCTGCTACATCGATTGGTTTGCTTGGAAGCCATTCCCAATGGGTTTAGCCATCCAAGCACGGTCCCTAAACGATTTTTTTTTTCACCAAAAGGTCCCTATCCGGTGTTAATGGGTTCCGAGGAATTCTCGTAGAAAAGATGGTAGCTCGAAGTATTCGTTTGTACCCGGCTACAACATCTTTACTCGCCAGAAGACCTCGGAGAAGCTAATTAATTTTGATGAAATTCGTTGGACCACCAGTGAGCTCGATCCAAATAACAAAAATCAATGCCAATCTGCTAGATGTAATTTGGAATTTCCAGCAAACCGAGGACCAGGGCCGAAACAAAAAAGGTCAATCCAACAGATTTCCAACCAAAAAGATTTTTTATCAAATTAGAATTTGGGCCACTAGTATTTTTCTGAAGCACCACAGTAGGCTGCTTCGGAGACGTCAAATTTTGATCTTCGGTTTGCATACCTTGATTTTCTCTCAAGGTACACCTCTCCCAAAATCCAGCATATATATAGTTCAGCTGTGTTCGCTGTAATTTTGGGACAGTAGTTTGCGTAGATACATCAGCAGTGGTCGGAACATACGTCACTCGTTCCAAAATATCATGGTGTATCTTGGCGTATGTTTCGAATACTGCTAATGTCGTCTCGCATTCCTGTACCTTGGTTATACCTTCTACCAGAACCGAATCTACATCGGCTCTGTTATACCTAAATGCCTGACATAAAATTTGGGAATGACCTTGAAAACCCTCCCTATCTCCTAAATTCATATTAATATCTAATTCTAAATCAAAATTATCCTTACCACAATCCGCCTTTGAGGCATCCGGGGTAGTTCCAAGACGATAATCTGGAACGTCGCTTCCAATTCCCACACCAATCAACTGTTTGCTAGTAGAAGCCTTAAACGGCCGTCGGATGTACTCTCCGACCGGCGACCTTACATCATCGTATTCATCGGTCACCGGCAATTTTCTGAGAACCTTCCAACGATCCTGCGCTTTTGGCAACTTCGGCTTTGAAGAAGCCGCCTTTATGCGCTGGTAAATGGCCGTAAGTGTGCCATCAGGGTCGGTTCTCATAAAATCTGGCAAAGACACCGGTCTAACATTCCGACTGGACCGGGTCTTCCGAGCATCACGACCGTGTTTCGCCTTGCTAGCAAACATATTGAAAATCTGTCGAATCTTGAAAAACAAGGAAGAGCGATCAAAAAGACGTCCGCTTGGTAACTACCTCAAAAGCCTCTTGTCGATTGTTAGCAGCAGTCTTCCTTATATAGACTCTCGGCATGTGAAAATTTGGTTACGATGGTGTTGCTATGGTAGCGACTGGAAGATGATGCGCAGTGGGTGAAAGTCGTGAAAATCGGACTTTTGGATCAACGTAGGCGTGCGTGTTTTTTTCTTCATTGAAGTGTCATTTTTTTTCGCGACGCATTAACAACTGAAGAAATTGTAACGAATAGTGTTAGGATGGTTGAGGTCTTGAATGTGCGACCTAGTGGTACAAAGGGCCATTGTGAAAGATATTCATCCTGGACGCCTGCTTGCTGGGCCCAGGTTAGATTCCTGTCGACTGCTTTTATTTCCTTGATGTTATTGCTATTGCTATTGCTTAAGTTGATTGCTAACCATTTTTGTTTTATTTTCAGGGAACGGATCAATCAGCGGACCCAAGCCTGGTTACTGAAATTATTGAAGTGGAAAGAGTCCGACAGGCCAGTCTCTCTTGGGGTTTGGCAGAAGAGTCGCAGCGATATCCAACAAGAGTGAACTAACTGTAATTATCAAGCTAAAGGGAAATCAACGAGCTGAATTGAATTTAATGATATTCGCTCGAAGTTATATCCTGCTGCTTGCTTGTTCGATCAAAGATGTTCGATGGAATGTTGCCGTACGGTGCGAAACAAGTGATCATGCTCATGGATATAAATCATTTAAGTGCTGGTGAAATTGTTCTAAAACTGAAAAAGTAAAACAATCTTCCGTTCTCCTCGGACATCAGTGTTAGTCGCAGAATTGAAAATTGAACCTACAATCCACTTACTTCTGTCTTGGAAACCGAGCCGCAGACATTTGAAACTTTGATCAAGCTGTAACGCGTCTACCTGTGCTGGAATCGATGTAGAGTGGTTGAAGAAATCAATATTTTGCACTGCATCAAATTTTCGCAGTTTGCCATACAGCATCTGCCTGAAACAACTCTACTTGCTGCCCCAAAATGTGCCTGGTGATCACGAAGCAAAAGAATGTGAATCTACTTTCGTAAAGTGTGTTAATTGTGAACTGGTGAACAAACTGCGTAACCATGCAAAGGACAAAGAACTCAGCATCGACCACTCAGCTTGAAGTGATTTCTGCCCAATTTTTCAGAAGCGCCTGCATAATGCCAGACAAATGGTTAGTTACTCAATCAACTGATATATTCCTGGATCGACTCTGGGATGCAACGATGTTGATTCTATGGAGGCAACCGATCCTCCCACCACAATCCTGACACTGTAGCCGTTGTTCAACAGTCGTCCTGGCTCTGTATGTGGGATTGGAGAAGGGGCCTTCCAACCTGAAACTGCAGGTAAGTACGAATATTTTCTGACGAGATCAACACTTAATTCGTTTTTCAGTTCCAGCGCTACGCCGATCCATCAACTATCTTCTATTCCCCTGATATTCCTGCCCGTCATGGATCAACAGTCGTCCTTCGGTGTAGGGATCGTCCAATCCGCTACCCATGGCCACCAACTACCATCAGATGAAGATTTCGGAGCATACCTACCACTCGGATGCTCTTCCTGCTTTGTCAGGTTAGTTCAACAGTGATTTATATCTCGCCGAAGCCGGTATGGTAACTACCTACTTCAGCCTGTTACTGACACAACCTAAACGGAAATATCTGTTATCGAGGTGACTACGCAAGGCTGACTGAGACTGACACCGTTGGTATTCCGAATACTGCCATCCATGAACCGCTAAGAGATTACTATTTCCACGACTATTACCGATAATGCAGACAACTCTGTTTGAACGTTGACTGCATCCGCATATGCTACCAGAACGTCAGATGTCTTTGCACTAAAGTTGACGACCTCTTCATCTCGGTTAGCGATTCGGATATGGACGTTATGATTACTACGGGACAAACAAGAGGAGGGAGTGTGTTGATTGCCATCTCAAAACGCTACAGTTCGTCGGAATCAACAATCGTTGATGACGGTGGCATAGAACATCCATGGGTTAATGTGAATAGAGGCTGTCGAACAATTTGTCTTGGCGTTGTATAAATTATAACAATTAAGTCCAGAGTGACAATTTATTATTCTTAACCGACCGTTTACGTAGGTACATACGCACTTAAAGACTGAAGCTCGAAATAAATTTAGAACACTTTTATAAACTAAATCTGCTGATTCGCCATTCCTCCGGGTGGTTTGATTCTGATGCAATCTTGGTTCGCGTAATTCGACTGGTTTTGCGCACATCATCGATTTGTTGCTACGGGTGTCGGTTGGGTTTTGCTGACGTCTTCGCTGATTGGTAGCCTCAAGCATGGGTTTGAATGGTCGGTCGTGGTGTAACGTATACATCCCTCCCGATTCTTCTACTTCCACGACTTGTATTGAAAGACATCTAGGGATCTACGTTGGTCATATCCGAGAAACTTGGACCTCACCTACTGTTTGGTGATTATAATCAATCTGGTCTCTGCTGGAAATCATCAGCTTCTGGACAAGTTTACATCAATTCTGTCAGCTCTACATTCACTTGCGCCCGTCGATGGAATGGCATTACTCGACACGACATGAAGCAGATTAATTATGTTAACCGAACCTTGGACTTGATATTTGCTAATGCCGGCGCAGTCAATCAGTGGGACGTAATTCAAACACCTGATTGAAGCTCTCATTGATGCTGATCATCCCGCATAAACGCGGACCATCACATGACCTTTCCGATAATGGTTATAAATTGTTTATAATCCTTGCTAAACTTCAACTGAAATGGTTATGGAACTTTACATGAACGTTTGTGTGATAAAGTTTTAACCTTATGTATTATGGTTTTTTGGAAGCGGACCTTACAAATAATGGGTTGTTAAGAACCATTACCATTGCAAATTCTTGTTTTCTCCATACATTTTCAGAAAGAGAACTATATAAGAACGTTTTTACTTATGGTTTGAGAACATTAATGGTAATGGTTATGGTAACCAGTAAGGTCCATTAATGGTTCTGCTCAACTTTACGTGAAATATATCGTGAATTGGTAATCAGTAATTTACAGGCAACCAATTCGCGATATATTCCACATAAAGTTGATCGATGTTACAAAACCATTCATGGACCTTACTGGTTACCATAACCATTACCATTAATGTTCTCAAACCATAAGATAAAAGGTTTTAGTATAGTTTTCTCTCCGAAAATGTATGGAGAAAACAAGAATTTTGAATGGTAATGGTTCTTAACAACCCATTATTTGTAAGGTCCACTTCCAAAAAATTATAATACTTAAGGTTAAAACTTTATCATTAAACGTTCATGTAAAGTTCCATAACCATTTCAGTTGAAGTTTAGCAGGGATTATAATTTTTTTTAACCATTTTAGGTAAGGTCAATTTATGGTTCGTGCTTATGCGGGATCCGTTTCATCCTTCAGTCTTTGTCAAGCTTAGCTGTCCGCCTCTTGGAGGATACAATCAAAGAAAGGAATAGCAACTTCATACAAACGCTGATTCAGAAAGTGTTTACTCTGACGATTGAAAAATCAACATCGATTTTTTCTTCCTTCAATCATTTTATATTTAGCGTGTTCGTTTATGCCAGCTTAATCTGACATACAACGGTATAATTTCTGACTACGTTTTGAAATGACCGTTAGCGTAACAGTTCATCCTGCTTAATACGAACTGTTGTTTTAAAGCTCACAAAAATTTCTACAAACAAGTTTTTGTATGAGTAACCACAGTTTTGCAAACATGCTTCATGCTATTTGTGCCAAATGGTTTAAAGAAAAAAAATGTAATCTTCTTCTTTTTCTTCTTTGGCTATTATGCCCCAACTAGAAGTTTACGCTTGCTCTCAAATGAGGGGATTAGAGGCAACGGGGTGCAAGTGATTTTGAGTTATTCTCTTCATCGACTTCGTCTTTCGTTAATAATTCAGTGGCAAACATATTACTTGATGCGGTTGCTATTCTCCATAAGCTCCTTTATCAAACTATGTAGCAGAAATAGCATGAATACATCTAAGGGAGGTTCTAAAAGATGTAATGTATTACATATCTACCACATATAATAACAATCACAACAGTGAATGTTTTTGCAACGATATAAAAAAATTGTGAAGAAAATCGATCGTATTGAAATGTTTTATACAAAGATACTGCATTCGTCCAAGTAGCTCACTAAATCATAGACCGAGGGAAGGGAGGTGATAAAATTGATATATGTATATATATATATTGTTGAATTATTGAATCATTGTCACCATTATTGAATTATTGGTAGCTGAATTTTTACACTACACGTTGCTATGTGTGAGTTTCGTTATTGTGCAATATCTTGTAATATTGACCATATCTCAAATCAGTGTCTTCAATAAAGTTGTTCTCATGACCATGACCTTCCAGGTGTTAGACATATAAGTTCTTCCGTTAGATCTATTTTGAAAATTATTTAAAAAAAATTATGATTTCAGTTTGAATATTTCTGCAACAAGAACAACATAAAGTGATCAGAAATCGATTTTCGACACCATTTGTGAATAAGGTAACAGTTGTTGGGAAATTCTTGTTTTCGCCATACATTTTCTGAAAGAAAACTATATTAGAACCTTTTTACTTATGCTTTGAGAATTTTAATGGTAATGGTTATGGTAGTCAGTAAGGTCCATGGATGGTTTTGTATTGTCGGTCAACTTTACGTGGAATATATCGCGAATAGGTTGCCTGTAAATTAATGATTACCAATTCGCGATGGAATATGTAAAGTTGACCGACAATACAAAACCATCCATGGACCTTACTGACTACCATAACCATTACCATTAAAATTCTCAAACCATAAGTAAAAAGGTTCTAATATAGTATTCTTTCAGAAAATGTATGGAGAAAACAAGAATTTTGAATGGTAATGGTTCTTAACAACCCATTATTTGTAAGGTTCACTTCCAAAAAACCATAATACATAAGGTTAAAACTTTATCACACAAACGTTCATGTTAAGTTCCATAACCATTTCAGTTAAAGTTTAGCAGGGATTATAAACAATTTGTAACCATTTTCGGTAAGGTCAAGGTATGGTTCGCGTTTATGCAGGTTAGGTGCAATAAGACCACTGAAGAAGCTTATGAGCGATGTTAATTTTCTAGGAGGAGGAGGTAGAATATTTTTATTTTTAGCGTTATGTTATAAATGGACGCCGCCTTATAAAGTTGAGAATGAGATAAACTTTTAATGTTTATTGTTTAACAACTGCGCGTTCAACACACACACTGCACAGCATACATTGATTTCACTTTGATCGGAATAAATGGAACGATCTGTATTTATCTTGAATAAAATAAATTATACCAGATTCCACCTGTCATCACTAATAAATCAACATAGAGATTGCTAAAGTATGATTGTGTTAGTAATTTGTTTTCATCGGGAAAATTTTTAGCTCTGAAAGATTTTTCCCCGATGAAAACATTTCTCGTATACGTATACGCTACCTAGTGTGTGTACGATAAACGTCAGCAATCTCTATGGCATATCAAGTTGTTTCCGATAGTGCGTGCAATTTCTTTTGATTAATCCGTGGTATTTTCACTTTATATTATTTTCACTTACCCATGTGATTTCATCGATGCATTGACAAAACGTCGGCGAAATGATCCGAGCAGACAAACAAATTCAATTCGCTGATTTCTGCTCTGCTAATAATTTTCAGCCATTTTTCACGATTTTCAATGTTGCTAGAAAACAGTTAAGCAATATGAATATGCTGCCTGCGCAAACGGATTACCGGATTACTTACCGTTTTGCGACAGAATAAAAAGAAATATCATTCTGAGCTACGGAATTATAACAGCGGGGAATGGCGCAAATTTTTCGTCCCATTTCGTAAAAAAATAACTGATGCAAATACAAAAATACCCGCTAGCGCAGCAGGAACAGCAGCTGTCAAACCAGTTTTACACTGGAAACAATTTAAAATTTAAAAGTCGAACCAGTTCTACACTGAAAGCAATTTCAAATTGATTCGAATACAAAGAATGCTTTTCCAATGCTTTTCCATCACCACCGCTTTTTTAAACTAAAACCCAAACAAAAATTCGGTGAAACGCTCACCACTTCCTTCCACGCAAACCAACACCACCATCAGAGAAGTGGTGTTAGTTTACGTGGGAGTACTGAGAGTTTCGTCGAAGCGACGTTTGATATTTTTTAATATACATATAAGCACATTCATCGCTGTGAAAAATTACCCTTCAGTTAATGTTGTAGACTAGGTTGTAGAGCATTTTATAAGACGTTTGCTAACTTTTCAATTTATTATTATTAATTAGAAATATCTTCTTACTACCACCACTCAAACTAAGAATTATGTTGCATCTTGTTTTTGTTATTTACAAGAGAAAATAATAAACTTTTAGAACCGAGACTAGAAATAGGATCGTTTTCTTTGTGTAGTAGACTTTTGTTTTCATAGTGCTTTCTTTTCGTCGATGGACTGTCAACTGCAGGGTCAGGATCCAAAACAATATGCTCAGTTATTTGTGTTCTCGCAGCAAACCAGATTAATCCAGAGTAACTATGAGAA